TGTTGAATGCACCCGAGATACAGAAGTCAGGAAAACCCAACCAATACCGAAATAAATCTACTACGACGAAGTCATAAGGCCGAATGCACCTAAGACATGAGTCGAGAAAACCCGAGATATCAAAATAAATCTGTTATGACAGAGGCACTAGGCCAAATACACTCAAGAAGCATGAGTCAAGAATACCTGATCGACACTAAAATAAATCAGCTATGGTGGAGGCATAAGGTCGAATGTGCATAAGAAACCTGACTAGTTGGTTGTAGCAGAGGCACCGGCCAAATTTGTCCAATGTATATGAGCTGAGAAACCTAATTATCGCTAAGGAAAAATCACTATGATAGAAGTACGAGCCCAATGAACCCGTGACACTTTAATCGAAAAATACCTGACTTACAAAACGAGATCCTCGAACATTGTCTTAATGGAAAAACCCAAATGATGTGCTTCAAATCCCTCTTGCGATAGCCCTAAAGCACGCCTTTAGGGGAGACAAGTGATAGAGAATTTACCACCAGTTGACATGTAGTCACCACATATCATCCAAGGCATCCTCCATCCGCCTACATGTATAAAGATTCAAAGTAGAGAAATGCAAGCTTCCTTCTTGTTCACTATGGTAAGGAAGGTAATCACAAAGTTCCATATCTCCTTTTATAATAATGAAAGCTATTAGGAAAAAATGTCGTTGATGTTTGTGTCAATACGATGTGGCCCTGATCCATTTGCAAGGAGCCATCCGAGGTAGAGCAGGGTTTCTCCAGCCTTGTTCATGCACAAAGATTGAGGTCGGGAGGGGTTACCTCATTCATGCATAAAGATCGAGGTCGGGAGGGGTTTCCTGAGCCAATACCTTCGAGCTTAAGTTATTACTTAGTTGCACCTTTTCTTATGTTTTTTTCCCCTGCTTTATTTGGAGCTAAGGGTACATTTTTATACTAATATCAAGGGAGGAGAATATTTTATGAAGATCTTATAGATAAGATAATTCGTAACTATCCCAAATTACCTTTTGATTTTTTAAAATATTCCTACAAATATTCTACAATGGAGCCGATTCGTGATCGGCCTGAATTGCCTTATGGTCTTATGAGAATATTCTTGCAAAGATTTCACTGGGGAGACAATTTATAATCGACCCAAACTGTCTTCTGGTCTTCTGAGAATATTCCTATGAATATTCAGTAGGAGAGCTAATTCGTAACCGACCTAAATTGTCTTATAATCTTCTATGAATATTTTATGAATATTTTATTAAGGAGGCAACTTGGCAACTCGGTAACTACCCAAGCTACCTTTTGAGCTTCAGTCTTTGTGGACGAGAGGTTATTGGCTTGATATAGCAATGGCGTGGCGAATGGTAGCTAGTGGAAGGTCACCCTGCCTTGATTGGGGCCATGTAGCCGTGGGCTAGATTCCACAAATAGTGCTAGGACTATCTTTTCATGTCCTCCTCGACTAGTATTTTAAAAAATGAAAGGGGTAAAAGAGGGGGAGAGAGAGAGACGAGCATCTCAAGGGAGACTCCTCGATTACCATTTTAATATTGGAGGAGAGAGGGGGATTCCCCCGTATCCTCCTTGGTTAGCACCTCGATGGCGGGAGGATTTCTTTATATTCTCCTACATTTTAGTAGTGGAAAGGATTGACTTTTTTCTTATTTCAGTGTCTCTTGCATATGATCCTGAAGGGACATTTATATGAATCTGAGAGGGGTCATCCTACATTTAGAAACCTCTTTTGGTTGGTTTGGTGGGGTTCATTCCATCGTTCAAACTCTAATCTCAGGAGCCTTCTTCTTGGCTTTAGTTCCCAAAGACCATATGCTATATAATAATTGATCAACGATACTACTATATCATATACGTAAATACATATATAATAAATGATAATCTCATACATCTATGGTTAAACTTAGAAGAGCTCATAAAATCGAGTTCTTCTGAATTCTATTTATCTTGGGGAACTGGAAATATTCAATATGAGAATGTTAAGGAATACATGCTCATAGTAAACTTGTGTTTGATCCCTATTACAACAATGGGACTCAACTTCACATACATATTTTGCTTGCGATTTCCTCAGTATAAGTACTTCAGAGTTTTCGCAACCTTATTTGAGTATCGTGCTAGGGATGAAGAGTGAAGATAGTGTGTGGAGCGTAAGCATACGATGGTGAGAGATCAAAGGAGAAATGCTGAAGAATCATGCTCAGTCCCACCTTTGCTTCCAACAATGCAAAGTTCTAGGTGATGCAAATTCGAGGGCCTCCACCGAATGGGAAGAACTCAACCTGTTCCTTTGATGCCTGTAAGACCCCTTCAATGAACCTCTCTGGATTGAACTCACTGGCATCTTTGACCCATAGGTTTGGATCATGGTGGACAAAGATTACATGAAGTAGGAGGAGAACTCTTGGTGGGTAAACTACATCCCCAAGTTTCATTATCTTGTATGTCTGCCTAAAACTTGTGTAAAGCATAATAGCCAAAAATAACATAAACATTTAAATATTTTAAGTTTTTAAATATTTAAAATTTTATGAAATAATTTTTTAAATAATGACTGATGTTGTAGGACTAGAGTGAGCTTACAGTTAATAAGACAAACTACAGTATGAAAAACTACTAACCAAATTATTGGTGGGATGGAGGTTTGGTGTAAAAGGATGAGACCAGTTTCAATTATATGTTAATGTTTTCTTTTAGCAGAGCCAGCTAGTTAAGGTGTGTGTGGTAGTGACATGAGATGTTGTATATCATAGGATGAGAGGTAGGTTTTCTATTCTTAGTATTCACCTTCTTCATTAGAGTAAACTATTTTAATGATAGACTAGAAGAAGTTATCAACCATTTTTCTAAAGTGAATAAAGACCATGATGAATTTATATTTATATTTGAGATGGTATAACCATGTATATTGAATAAAGTAATCATGAAAATGACAAAATTTAAAATTATCAAAAGAAGTGGTTAGAGCAATGCTCCAAACATTGACGTAGATAATTTTAAATGGTATAGATTAGGATATGGAAAATAATTTAAAAGGTAGTTTATAACTTTTATTACTAAAGTAAGTATCATAATAAGTTATAATTCTACTTAATTTAGAAGTTGAAAGAAAGTAACGAGAAAGAAACTATTGTTGAATGGAGGATGATGGGTGACGATGCCACATATCGATTAAAGCAACAACTAAAGTAAGAGTGGTTGAAGCAGCAATTGAAGTACTGCTGCACCAATTAGGTGTAGTAATAGGCTTAGGTCGAGACCGATGAACTTTTATTGTCTATCCGATTTTGTCACAGAGTTGACAGATGACTTTTTGTTTATTGTTATTATTAGGATGTTAAAGCTACTGATAGTTATAGTGGAAGTTATTTGCTGAGTTATTTAAATTGAAGTTGCCACAAGGGTTGATAGTATAATAGAGGATGATGGCTCTATGTATTACCCATGTATTCATAAGGCATCTTGTTTGGACTTTTGTTGAAGTTCTTATTGCTTTGATTGCTCTTTCTTTTATATTTTTAACTGAATGAAGCTATGATAATAGGTCATGTTATCCTCTCTTTTCTTTACAAATATATTTTATGATTAATTAATTTATTATATAGTTCTTCAAATGATATTGTTGAGTCTCATACCCAAATTATTATCGCTAGTTCTTTATATTCGTCTCCTAAGCTATTAAGAGTATGGATAATAACTTCTTCATCACTTAGGAAATGACTTATTAAAGCTAAATCATCTATAATAACTTTTATATTATATATATATTTAGTAATAGTACTTTCCTCTTGTGTTGTAGATAAAAAATTGAACATGTGAGTATGAGAGCAATTGGTGATAATGGTTTGTAACTTTGACCATACTTCTACCGTAGCATTGTATGAAGATATTAACGGTGCTATAGAGCCAACGATTAAGGCTTTACTTATAGAATAAGACGATTTTGTCATAACCATAACTTATGATCAGGATTTATTATTAGACTAGATTATCCTGGTATTTTGATCATTTTTAGTAGATAATTGAGAGCTAACAATGTAGCCTAATAGATCATATCTAAAGAGAAAATTATAGAATTATACTCGTGAAGATGCATAATTGTCATCCTTGGATAATTTAAAAGAGATTAGAGTTATATATGGTGGATGTTATGATAAGTAGAGGTGCAAATATGATATATCCGTGGAGCCCCCAATTTGGATCCTATGGATAAGATTCAATTGGACAATTGGACAATTAGATAGAGATCTAATTGGATAATTAGATAGAGATCCAATGAGTATATGATCCATTAAGGGTTAAGTTGCTTCCACCTCTATAAATAGGAGGAACCTCACGGTTCATAGGTTAGAACTTCTGATAGTCACCCATCGTAGGCTAGAAATAGGCAATGGTAGATCAGTAGAGGAATTGTTGTTGTTGAGCAGAGTAGAAAATCGATAGTGACAAATCAATGGAGAAGAGGGATTACTGTCCTCGGACAACAAGGAAGGGGAAGTCTTACTCGAGGTAAGAGGAAATTGAGGAATATATTGTGAAAGGGTGGATTTCATTCATTAAGGTGATGAGTATTTATACATATTTTGAGAGAGATTTTTTCCTCAATCATACACTCAAATCACACGATTAAATCAATTACTTAGATCCGTAATTGATCATCAAATCATAGAATGATTAAAGATATAAATAATTTAGTGATATCATTCCGTGTGTACCTTCATCATAATCTTCTATCAAATAATAGATGCTACTATGGGCGAAGCCCACAGTTCAGTATATATTTCATTATTTGTTGATAACTATTCCTATAAACTCATTTCCATCCTCTTTGGTATATATTATTTCACATGAAATTTTGATATTGATTAATAATTAGTTAAAAAATATTTTTATAGAATAATTTGCAAATTTGTTCCCCTGAGGAGAAATCTATCTATAAATCAGGAAACCTTAACAGTCTGCTGCCACCATTAACATGCATCTTCAAGCTCTCCTGAATCAGACCCAGTTTATGAGACTGTATGATAGAATGTGTACAAAATCCACCAGCTAAATACACTTATCTCGAAAGGCCATTGAAGGTTACAAGAATCTTAATGCAGCTAATTAAGTACTCTTCAGGACATACAATAAACAGATACATGGACGCAAATGTGGATACCACATATCATATCAGAAGAAGGCAGTTCTGAAACAGGAAACTTCAATGAGACCTTTTGGTCATGGTTGGCTGCCGTGAAGGAAGGAGGAAAGTATGTCTTGGAGGAGACCGCAGTCGGGGAATCGGGACGGTTGAAGCGCAGATGATAAGTTTGACGGGAAAGCATTAGGGTTTATGTTCCCTTGCTGGGTGGTACACCCCAGTTGGGGCAACTGAGAGAAGCTCGTCGACATCATCGGAAGAGGATGAGCTAATTGGTGCGTATTCGCTCTAACTGTATGTGGGCTTTGATGTGTATGTTTGCCTTCGTACGTCGTCACCACAATCGTTGGATCTTCGTAAGATCTCTCCACCCTCTTCTTCACCGGGCACTTTGGAGTGGTGCAACGGTAGTAGCTTCTGAAACGCATGCAACCATCATATGCCAAAGAAGTGGAGAATGTGAGCCTACGATTTGACTTACCTTGGATAAGGGCTGTTCTTGACCGCCTTCTGGCCGTATTTTCTCCACCGATAGCCGTCGTCGAGATGATCGACCTCGCTTCTGGTCACGAAAGCAAAGCGTGGCTCCCTTTGCCTTCTCTCCTTCTTCGGTTTCTTCCTGCTCAACGAAACTTCAAGCGATCAGCTCGTAGGGCACTCCACCGCAACATATCAGATCCATGCTATCGATCCCTTCCGGGGAAGACTTTGAGATCCAACAAAAGCAGACAAGGTTTCGAGACTCACTGATCCCTTGCGGTCAAAAAGGTTGTCTTGTCAAAATATAAAGGTCGAGATGTGGAGAAACCTTTTTGCCCGAAGATTACTAATAGAAGATGGAACGGAAAGAAACATAAGGTTTTTTGTCTAATGATAATCTATCAAAGTCTTTTCCAGCTAAATTAGTCAACTAAGATTATAGAAATTGCTATCGATCGACAAAAGCAGAAAATGATGGAAAGGAAAAAAAAGGCAAAAAGAAGATCTTTTTATTTTATTTTATTTGTTTGTGGGAAGCAAAAAGGAGGGACTTGCTAAGGAGAACTCACACTTTGTTAGACATATCGTCCCCGTCCTCCTCCCGCTTCAGCTGATCCTTCTTACGCCGTGCTCCGCCTTCTTCTCCGGCCGCCTCAGTGGAAGACGAAGAGGCCGAAGAATTAGGTGTCACCGGAGTGGTACCTCCACCGCACCAGGACGTCGACGTCAAGCTGCAACTGAAGTTATCATTACCATCGGCCATCAACTCACGCAACGCTGCACCACCGGAACCAACCGCATCTGCGGGCGCTAAACACGAGAACCCGAAAGCTCTAGCTAAAGAACCGTCGTCCGTCGGCGTGCCACACAACAATTCGGTGAAGCTCTCGAACGGCGTCGACACCGCTTGCGGATCGAAACCACGTTGACCAGCTTCAGCGACGCTGCCTGCTGGCTTCCCGGAGAAGACCGCCGACAGCTCCTCGTGGTACGGGAACGGGTGATGCTCCCTCTCCTGATCTCCGGACATGATAGCGCTTGAGTCGTAGAAGATAAAGAGGATACGAGGCTGGTATGAGAGAGAGAGAGAGAGAGAGAGGAAGATATCGGCTGGAATGGAGGAAGTTTCAGCGACTGCCTTCGCAATACGTATATAGGCAGACTACTTTAGCCAATTCGTCATGTTGTTGGCTTTTCACACAGGAGACGATAACATTGAGAGAGGAGTCGGCAACGAACCGGTCGACCGTAACGAGCAAGCGAGCGAGAGAGAGAGAGAGAGAGAGAGAGAGCGCGATGCCCGCGGACCGGAGTCAACTATATTAAAACGCGGTGCTCCCAGAGACGCGTGCCAGTTGTGAGGGGATGTCGGGTGGATCGCAGAGCTGACGAACCGCGTCGTTGTCGGGTCGATCGACATCAAGCGGTCGGTGATTCAGAAAAAAAGGAAAACATCAGACGGTCGGTGATGGCTCGAGGTGCGGTCCCACGTTGCGGCTAACTGTCACGGGTTCGAGCCGCACTTAGGTCGGCAGAAGTGTTTTGCGCTTGCGACTCGTGTCTCGACTCGGAAGTTGAATCGTGTTACGCAATCTTTTCTGGCCTAAGTTAGTGTCAACTTTGTCTCTTCTGGAACGGTCAACGCTAAGTCTGCTTCTGAAACCAGAATTGACAGCTACCCGAGCCAAATGAACGAGAAGCCATTTCTGCGACGGCAAAGGAAGAAGAGGTATTCCTGCGGTGCACACTTCACACATGGAGCGGTTGCGTAAGCTCCACGGCTGGTTCTCATGCTGCTTCCACAAGAGAGAGAGAGAGAGAGAGAGAGACGGGGCGAGGCGATGCGAGAAGAGAGGGGGACGGAAAGGGCGAGCCTGAGATTGTTGACCGAGGGTTAGTCCACATTTGTTCTCTCGTCAGAGGACGTCGCCATCGGAGCCGAGGGAAGGTACGCATATGTTGGGTCTTTGTGAGGCCATAACGTGCATGAGCAGCTGAGAAACCGGTCGATTGGCTTTGACGTCAACGCCACCAACATTGATGGACTGTTGCACCACAGCTCTTCCGCAAATCCCACAATTGAACTGGTCCGCAACATGGGGAGAGTCGCTAGATGGTGCCCTAAGGTAGATAGATTTGGAGAGCAGCTGATGTGACATCAATCGGTTCGATCATAAGGGTAGCCTACATAGTTTAGGCAGCACAATTTTTCTAAGGGGTTTGTTGAATGGCGTCAGTTTGGTGGCGGGCAGCTCCGAAGGGTTCTGCTGCTTCTAAGCATGAAGACAATGAACAACACCTGCTGTAAACTCCACCACAAAGCTCTCAGATTTCTTCGGCTGCAGGTCTCTTTTCTTGATGACTAAGCTCTACCCTCCAAGAACTACAAATGTTCGATGCTTCATAGGCAGTCAATAATATGGATCATGAATTCTATACCACGGGGAAAGATGAAGAATGTGTGCCGGCAGCTGAAGTCAGGTTCTGATGAAACCATTCATCATGGATGATTGCCAGGCATCGTTTAAGAATTGTCAGCATACAATTGAATAAGCTGAATGAATGAATGAATGAATCATTGATGGAATCGTGCATGATTGTTCGTGTCAAAGAGATTTCTTCATCAACAACTTCATTATTGAATCTTGTAATAGATTACCGACACATCTCTTCATCAGTAGCTTTACATTGTATAAATGAGAATACAAAATGCGTTGTGTGTGAGCATCAAAGCAATGCAAGCTGTGACAAAGTGGTGTAAGAAGGGAACACCATAAGCTCTCGTTCAAGACAAAACACATAGTAGCACAGTACTATCAGTTTTGTAATCATTCCATTTGAACATGCACAGAACCAATAACAGTGATAGAAGATAAGATTTCTCCAACTATACGAGAAAATCTCTAAGGAAAATTCTCTATTCTGTTGAGGAAAATCCTTTCTCCTAATTATAAATAGGAGAGGGAATGTTAATGTATTGAAGCAATTTTCATTTCTTCAATAAAGCTTCTTCAGCTTCTTCAATAATTATTCTTATCTTCTATTCTTTTCAGTATCAGAGCAGTGAGAAAAGCGATGCCTTTAGCCAGCGACCAACGTCGTTGAGAAAAGGGAACGCATGTGCCCTCACAGCAATCGTAACAGTAGCAGCGATATGCTCTTGCCCTACTCACGAAGTCTCTCGCTTGTAAACCATTCTTTGCATCGATCCAAGATTGATATCCTTATCAGAAGTATCAAGGAAATCTCTTTATTCTGTTGAGGAAAATCCTCTATTCTATTGAGAGAAACATGAGAGAGAACATGTTAATACAAAGCATTTTTCATTTCTTCAATAAAGTCTATTCACTTCTTTAATAAAGCTTAATTGTTCTTATCTTCTATTTTTTTTCACTTCTTCAATAAAGCTTAATTGTTCAGCTTAATTGTTCTTATCTTCTATTTTTTTCATCAAACAGGACCCTACTTCGTGTGATTCAAATTGTAGATCATATATAGGGGAACTTGTTTAAGATTTGGCTGTCAATTCTTTGTTGGCGTGATGCATGTCAAAGAGCGTTAAGGGTATCATCCATTCATCCATCGATAATATAAGCGCGCAGCAGATTCCCCTAATAAATGCTGTTGACTCTTATTGCAATTGTATGAATATTTTTCCGAGAGGAGAAGAATCTTTTCCGACAAGATTGACACTCATTTGGATTGGTCACCGACTGTATCTATGGAAGCTCGCAGAGAGATCTGATGAGTGAAGAAAAATAGTGCAAAATTTAGTCAGGAAATGTTGGAAAAAAAATAAAATCCACAAAATCCAAAACACTACGCTGTGTATTAACTACGTGATCACTACTCGGATATCGGATTTGGTTCGACGGGCATATTAAGAAAGCTACAGAAAACACACCATGATTAACGGGTCGGCCTGCTCCATGAAAATCCGGCCCATTTAAATCAAGATTTATGGGTCTAAATGGATCCCATTCGAAATGGATTAATGAAAATTATATGATGATAATTACCGAACAAAATTAAGTCTAAGTTTAAAATTCTAAAGTTGTCTGTAATATATATATATATATATATATATATATATATATATATATATATATATATATATATATATATATATATATATATATATGTAACTTACTGCACTCACAAAACAATACTAATAGCTTGCTTGCAACAGATGCCAGCAACGCTTTGGTCCCTTCTTGGTTGGAAGATGCAAGCACAGTGGCGACATGCATGGGAGGTTAGCAATCCATCGGCTTCTTTCCTTCTCTCTCGATCATGGCCGTGTCAGAGGGCAAATAAAGCTGTGTGCAGTCCATGGAAAGCGCAGCTTGGGACCAGTTCAAGAACACCCAATGAACTCTGCTGCAAGCAGTAAGACAGCTTATCAAGAGCCGCATTCTCTCATGATGATGCCTGCATGCTTAAAGGTGTGTGTGTGGCCCCGTGAATGCTATGAGTATGCCCCGGGGATCAACGATGAAGGAGACCATGGGATAGCAGAAAACTATAACCTAAAACTAAAAGCTTATCATCATCTGTAGTTAATAATAAATAATTCATCACAATCTGGCGAACTTGCTTGTCTAGATGTAGATAATATTGAACTTGAAAGAGTTCCTTATGAAACCAGCATCCAAGACTTTGAAGTAAGATGAAGTTTTGTATACTTGTAAATGCCCCATTAGTGTTTCCTTGCATTATAAGCATTAAATGCTTCGACTGGTCCAGTGTTTGTTTGTTGAACATGAGACATAGAGGCAGCAAATTGTGGACATGAGCTTGCTCCGTTGGCCAGAAGCAAAATCTATTGCTCTGTTTGGCCCCGAGATATATTAGTTATCATTATTGAAGTGTGTAGAGAAGTGAGATGACTCATAGATAAGCTGATGACTTGGGGGGATATGCCAACGTTCTGTAATTGTAACATTCATTGGTTCCTTATGTGGCTTCTACTAGCTTGTATTTGCTTGTATATAAACTGATGACTTCGATTTTATATGATCGTCTTCTACTAGCTTGTATTTTCATCTCCTGAATTATTCGGGTACATCACCAATGCAATCTTTGCAATAGCTCAACAATAGACCTAGATTGGATCTGAATCCTAATAACATATATCATGTTAATGTTATAAAACTCATATTCGAGAAATTAAAAATCAAGCTCTCCACTATAAAAAAAAAAAAAGGTCGAAATACTCTCAATTTATTATTTAATATAAACGATATAGAAGATTCTATAATATCAACCGTCTATAATATATTTTTTTATTTTTTATTTTAAAAATAAATCCAGTATTTAATCAAAACTAGAGGCGCAGTGATCGGATCATTGTGTTATTGGTGCGTATGGTATTATTTCTGCCATCGTATGCCAACCCAACCCATGCGCGTCTCAGTTGACGTGATTCCCTATGCCTTCGATTTCCCCTCCCCCTCTAAATAGACTTCCCCCGCTACCACTCTCCGCCACCATCTGACCCCGCCACTTTGGTAGGAGCGCGAAGGGATCGGACTGCCCGCTGCTTGTTGCGGAGAAGAAGAATGGTGGCCGGGCGTGGAGGCGGCGGTTGGTTCCGGAAGCTGAACGGCGGGGGATGCCGCTGGCCGTGGAAGCTCGGCTTCGCTACCTCCTGGCGATGGAAGTGTCCCTCCCTCCTCCTACGCTTCTCCTTCCTCGACGACCTCCTCTTCCGCATCCTCTACTGCCTCGAGGCCGTCGTCCTCGTCGGCGCCCTCTGCTTCTTCTATCTCTGCTGCGGCTGTCACATCTAATCGCTCTGCTGCTTGTATTCTCTGTATTGATGCCGTCTCTGTTCCCGTCGACGCAACTTTTGCGTCGCTGTTGTGCTCTGGAATGTGTTGCTCTTTTTTTTTTGCCTTATTCTTGGGGATCTAAAGATGGTCTTGAGATCGAATATCTTCCATCGATACCACTCTGTTGTCTACTACTGATTGGGCAACAAAGCAAAAGCAGTCGACAAAAAAAGTCAAAAAGACATTCTGTCCTCCTCGGTGAGTGAGATTATAAGAACACGAGGGAAGAAAACATCATCATCAACCCAAAATTTTGCTTCCAGATTGAAAGTTAGAACAGCATGATCTGCTTTATGCATGGGAAAGAACAGAATGAAAAAACTGAGTTTAAGAGTTACCAATAGCATCGTCACCATAAGACAATCCACGAGATTGTACAACTTACTATAACAAAGTAGAAGAGAAACAGCTAAGAGACTTGCATAACTACGCAAGAACACATCCGTAGACTGATAAAAGACCAACAAGACTTAACAAAGACAAAATAGTCTACAATTAATTCAACTAAGCAATTCCAAAACTTCAATTAATCTACTAACAAAGTTTCTTAGCGCTCACCAAATAAAGCGTTTCACTCGAAGATCCATGCTCCCGAACATTTGCAAGCAAGGGAGATGAGAACTACATAAACAAGTTGGGTCTTGATGCTTTGTATGTGGTTTTTAACTTCCTGGTTGGTGGCCGGACCTTCTTGAACACCAGGGGAAACTTGATTTTGGAATCATGGAACTGCTTGGTGCTCTCCCTCTTGCAAAGTTTAGAAGGAATAGTAGCTGTCTTAATAATTTGGATGCAGTGACACCTCACTCGATGACGAGAGGCCATCTCATTGTACATTTGTTCAACAGCACCATTTAGAGTAGTATCACGGTACTCCTTGTACATGTTGTGGTAACCTGTTCTGCTTTGATACCTTAGCCAGATCCCATAGTTCTTGATCTTAGTTGGTTTACGCTCAAAAATCTGCAATCAATTTGAATGTTTCATGAAAAACTTACCCTTCACAAAACTCAAACAAGAGAATCCACAGCAGAATAGGTGTCACGACATTATAGCAATGAGGTAACTGGCAACTGCATAACCAAGTAAGAGATCAAATAGATTTCACGAGTCTCAAATCTCATCATCAATCATTTCAAAACAAATGTGGTAAAATCGTGGAAAAAGATCACATCTTTGACCCTTTTACACTAAACACCTGAAAAGAGGATTAGCATGAGGCCCTTTCCCAGAATCCTGCATCTTGCTGTGGTTGCGATGTTTGATAGCGACAAATATTTTTTTTTGTGAAATCATACCTGCCTAAGTTTAGGTCTAGTCAAGGACAATAGGCGCTAAAAGATGCCAAGATGCCAAGGTGCCATGATGCCCGTGGCACTAGGTGCTCGCCCAAGTGACCCACCTAGCGCCTGGGCTGCACCCGATTGAAGTTGCCCGACCCACTTATCGAGTGCTCGGGCCACGCCTGGACACCAAGGTGACTTCACTGGTCAAAGTAAACTGTTATTGGGCCTCTTCACTGAATGGCCTAAACTGTTATTGGGCCTCTTCACTAAATGGCCTACTGAACAAGACATCTAACAAACAAAAGATGTTCGACATACCAGATGTCATCGATGCATTTGATGTCTCAAAGTCCCATCACATTGATAACTCAATCCCCTAAGATGGTGCTTATGACATGCAGCAGTTCAACTTTAACAAGAGTACTGCCAGTTTCAACTTTAAATTGACAAATATGTGGGAGATATCAGATTGGACCAATAGTGAGATTTTTAAAAAGTATCAAGATCAACATAAAACTGGTTCTCAGAGTATAGTATGGTCTTGTAACTGAAAAAAGAGGTGATTACCATAAATTGTGCCCAATGGTTCAACGAGGCTGAAGACTTTCCAAAAGATAAGAAGTAGCTCAATAGGGAAATCATCACTCACAACATAGCATGAAGATGAATAAAGGAAACGCATAAATACTATAAAACTACCCAGTTTTATCTGTTAAGTAGGATATAGAAAATCTGTTACAAGATTTGTGCAATACAAGACACCAACAAAGAGAAGGTATCAACGATTATACTGCAGAACAGTAATAACAATCATAATCCATAATGATTATAGATCATCAGATCAATTACAACATATTATCTGATTTCAAGGGAAGATTCTAAATTCATTATTCCATTGAATGAAGGATTATGTTAGTTTATAATGATAAATATTTCATCATCAATTTTGACTTAAGCATTTTGAGTCATGAGATTTTATGCTTCCCCAAAAATGAGGTCAGTTATCCTATTGGATAAGTTTATGATAATGGGATATCACAGCCTTCCCTTTTAAGGTTTTAACAAAGTCTCATGGTCTAACACATGACTCGTAAAGCCCAGCACAGCAGTGCCTTCGATATATGCCTACAAAACAATTCATAATAAGTTTTTCCTACTTAGACGCACTCGTCACATATACCCAGTACTAGGTCACTAAAATACTTGGAATTCAGAATTAACAGTAATAGACGCTCTGTAAAATAAAATAATCCTCCTCTCACTTCCAAGATGGAGATATGAGACAAAATAAGATTTCATCCATACCCAATTTCTACGGTAATGGAAATTATAGGACTGCAAGTCAGAAGAAAAAGACATTAAACTAATAATTGATTTAAGAGAAAAGATATTTGACCAAGAGGTAACCGTGGATCAAAATCAAAAATTGACAGCATGACCACATATTTCTCGAATCATAGATTGCTAGTTGTACAATTAATAGATCTTTGCAATCACTGGAAACAAAAAACCTAATACAAGAACAATAGAGTGAAACAACAGCCACAAAAAAGAATCCACCTCATTGATCGCCAGCACCTGCCCGTTGCTCTTTTTAACCTTCTTGAGCTTCCTCAAAAAGTACCTGTAATTCAAAGCCGTAAACGTCAAAAAAAATACCCATCAAACAAACATTACGAACAAGAAAATGTGCGCTTAGGACCATCGATGGAGCGAGATACGTCAAATGGGGCGCCCGGAAGCCTACCAGAACTTGGATTTCGCGCGAACCTCGTTGGTCGCCCACAGCTTCATCCGGTAGATCTTGGGATGCTCATCGGTCGACGAAGGGAGTGCTCTCCCCACCACCTGATACTGATGGAACTGCAAGAAACGAGGGAAGACAGCATTAAAACCGCAGAACCAACGGATGCGAGAAATCCACCACCAGAAACCACAGAGGACAAGGAATGGTAGGAATTTGGCACAGAAGTACGCATCGAAACGCGGAAACCATGAACTACGACGAAGAAAACGAAAGACAACTCACCCTAAACGCCACCATTTCCTCGCCCCTTCTCTTGTTGGTCGCCTCCCCTTGCAAGCGCCGGCGGCTGGCTGGATGGGGTCGATGTCTCGCGGCAGAGAAGCACTAAGCGTGCGGTTGTTGCGTATTTATAGCCATAGGTAGGTATCGTTCGAGTCCGCCAAACCCTAATCGGGCCTCGAAACGGGCCGCATGTTGGGTTCGAGTCCGCATTTTGTTAGATAAAAATAGGACAGATAACATAAGTACAGTGATATATATATATATATATATATATATATATATATATATATATATATCATCGCCTTTACAGTTGATCATAGGAATCTTGCTCCAGAGATGCCAATAGAATCTTGACAATCTCATGCATCGTGGGTCTTCTACTGCGCTCTTCCTCCAAACAAGACACGGCTATCTTAACCATGGCCGCGGCCTGCGCGTAATTGAACTCCCCATTCAATCTGTGATCCACCACATCTCTCACCCACGACCTGCCATTGCCATCGAGCTGCTCCTTCAGCACCGCCACACGACTCCTCACGTCCTGCTCCCCGCCGTCCACTGCTGCCCAGTCGGAGACCCGACTCCCCTTCAGTAACTCGAGAAGCACCACGCCGTAGCTGTACACGTCGACCTTGGCGGTGATGGGGGAGTTGAGCGCCCACTCCGGTGCCATGTAGCCCTTCGTGCCTCGCACCCGCGAGACGTTGAAGCCAGCGGTGTCCCGCTTCGACAACTTGGCCAGTCCAAAGTCGGCGATCTTTGCTTCGAACTCGCGGTCGAGGAGAATGTTTTCCGGCTTCACGTCGCAGTGGATGACCCACTCCAGGCACTCATGGTGGAGATACGCCAGTCCCCTCGCCGTCCCCACCGCGATCTTGAACCTGTGATTCCAGGGTAACAGGGCGCCGCCGCCGCCGCCGTCGGCGAACAGGTACTTGTCCAGTGACTGATTCTGAACGTACTCGTAGACCAGGAGCCTGTGCCGGCCTTCGGAGCAGAAACCCCACATCCTAACCAGATTCATGTGGTTGATCCTTCCGATCACGTTTACCTCGGCCCAGAATTCTTCTTCTGCCTGCATCACATCTGTCAACTTCTTCACCGCCACCACCCTCTTGTCATCCAAAACGCCCCTGTAGACGGTCCCCGACCCACCCCTCCCCAGCTCCTCCTTGAATTTTCCGGTGGCCTCCCGGAGCTCACGGTATGGGAACCTCCTGAACTGACTGCCAATCAACTTGTACCCTTTCTGCACTGACTTGAGCGTGTCGTGCCCCCTGAAGATACACCACCAACCTGTTAGGATGAAGAGAAGCTCTACTGCTCCAAGCGCTGCAGCAAAGGCGTAGAGGTACACCCACTTGGTGTTGCCGCCGTTGTTTCCATACATCTTCGAAGAGCCCAGAACGACACTAGAATTGACGGGATTGCAGGCAAGGCCGGATTGGTTGAAGCCGGACGAGGATTTTACGGACTTGGGTACTTTGAGGAAGATGCTGCTCGGGAATGACGTTGATCTGTAGCCATTGAACAGTGTGCTCTTTGGGTAACAGGACCCTATTGCATTTTCGCCGGATTTCTGGTAGCCGAATGCCAGGCAGGAGCAAGTCGACATGCACAATCTCCTGCAGGCCTGGAAGGAGATGAGTGTTGTGTAGGTGCTCATATCGAACCCATAGAAGTCAGCGCCCGTGAGCTCTATGAAATGAAGCTGGTGCTTGGTGTAGTGGCCGCAAGTCATGTTGAACTTTGGCTTGCAGCCTTTGTTCCAGTCGCGGGGATCGTTCATCTCGTATCCCGGAGGACAGGAACACTGGCTGACAGAAGGCAAGTACTCGCAGATCGCGTTCTTGCCGCAGAGGCCATGCACGGAGCAGATCTGCCGGCGAGCGACCCAGGAGACGGACCACAACCCGTTTGACCTATTCAAGCTGTAGAGTCTGAGATTACCGTCGTAATCCACTGTCAGCCTCCTTTTGATGCCGAGGCCTAAGTCAGAGGCGTTGAAGTTGAGGTTATCGCTCGACAGGAATCGGCCTGTGGAATCCAGAACTGCGATTCTGGAGCTGTTATAGCTTGATCTCCCGTTTCCGAACACAGTGTAATCCGGGCTTGGCCAATAGATGCTGGAAATCTCCGGTCCGTCGTATATAAGCTTTAGGACGTTATCGTTGTCGAAGTAGAGGCTGTAGTAGCCGGAGCGGGGATCGTCTTTGGCGACCGGCGACACGAGCCGCTTTACTTTGGTTAGCTGCTGTGCAGGAAGCAAGGTGTGGGTGGGCGAGTCGAAGCTTTGCCAGTGGATACGGCCATCTCGGTCCTTCAACACCAGGTTGCCGGAGTTGAGGAGCTCGGCTGACGAAACCCCGACGGAGCTGGTGTTGGTGTCCCACACCTTGGATCCATCGACGTCGGAAAGCACCAGTTTCCCGTCTCGGCGCAGAGAAACTCTGGAGCCACGGCCATTCACCGGAGAGTCCCGGTTGGCGGACCAGACGACGGTGGCGTCTTTGGAATAGGTGAACCAGATGGAGAAGCAATACGCATTGATGCCTACCGCGTGGAATCCACAAGAGAAGGTGCCGTCCAATGAGGTGATCAGAGTGGTTGCCTTCTCGTCCTCCACCGAGAAGGACGAGCCGACTTCCATGGTGGAACGAGGCATTGCAAGGGAGTGAGAGAAGACAGAGACGAGGGAGAGAAGGGTAAAGGAAGAGATGAGCAGCAGCTGGTTTCTCATGGCTGACGAAGAGGAACACAGTTCTGGCTGCTGGCTGTAGGAGTGTCTCATGGTCCAAACATTTGGTCTTCATTTATAGATGGATAGATAGATAGATACACATGGAACTCGACAAATACGTATGCGTGTTCCTTAACTCACCATTCCATGCACCCTTCTACACGTAGTTCCATGTCTCTTCCATACGGCAGAGGAACTGCAGTTCCATGTCGACCTGCAGATTGCCAACCAAGCTATCACATGCATCTAAATCGAGGGACTCTCTCTTCAAGCTTTTAGGTGGAATGTTGACCTTTGAAAACAACGTCTCAAGGCCGTCAGCTTCGAGTTAGTAATCCATGAACGGACGCATCAGAATGGTAAACGTGGTCGCTCTGTTCACCATTGTTTTCTTGCTATGTGATATGGCAAGACATCTACGACCAGTCCCACTTCGACAAAGACAGACATGGTCATTGCGGGTAACAGTGTTCTTCGTTGAACGCCGGCACTTCAACGGACAAAGGAGAGTGTGGTTTGGGGGCTAAGAAGTCTTGTATTATTCCAAATTCTACGGGAAACTACGAAGACATCCTCGTCAACCTTCCCATAGTACAAAAACCACCATTCAACGTTGCCTGAACTCGAACAATAATTCCACCAAATACAAGCCAATACGTGAACAGCTGCAAGCACACAGAAACAGAACACACATCCAAATCACCGTTGCTTTGTAAAGACAAATATGAGAAGCAAAAGAAGCCCTGAAGAAGGCATAGCAACAATGCTAAAAGCATGTGTGATCATCTTGCATCACCGATAGCGGTTTTAGCATACGGAAAAAATATTGCAGCAAAGACTAGTAAGATAGCAGAATGTCACAAATAACAGTGAAGAGTTTGAGCAACCAAATGGGAAGATATCTTAACAACAGTGTTCAACTCATAGCCAGTAAAGGTGCCGGAAGGAACCAGGATTTGTTGATCTAACTTGGCATCATTTGAGAAACGATGCACAGCCAACCAACCAACCGGTTGTCTATCAAGAATCCGGAGTGATGTCTTGCAAGAGTATGCAGCAGAGGCGGTGCCACTTGTGGTGGGAATGCAGGAACAACCCTAGTAAATACTGGTAGGTAGATCATCACTGGCTGGCACCATTGTGTCCTCGCTGTCGATGTAGAACACACGGCAATCTTTTCCAGGTTGTTCTGCTGGATTTCCATATAAGCAATCATCCAACTTTAAGTCAGATCCTAATTTCCATCAAGCTGCTAGATATGTACTTAGATGCATGCCAACCCCCAAGATTTGTGGAGTAACCAAGTCCTAAAATGGAGCTGCACACAGAGCATACACAGCGTTTACTCCAGTGCAACTGCACCCAACAGGCTTAGCAGGCATCTGAGGCATTGAAGCCGAGAAAGCGGTATCAACCTTGACCTGAGTTGAAGCCGGAGAGACTGGCAGAGATTTATCAGCTAAATTTGCCACAGGAATCTTCTCAGTCAAGGAAAAACCAAAAAGCCTGCAACCATTTCGGTTCACATTCTGCTCATTTCCTATGCCCAACTTACCGTCGGAAACAGAAGCATGCACTTTATCCATTTCGGGTTGCTGATTGGCAAAATGACAACAACCCATAGTTGGAGGCCAGAACGGGAATTTTGCTTCTTTAACATGCAGTGCTTCTGAGCCGTTTAACTTGGAGAAGTAGCAACCACCATCACCCCTATCTTGACCATTCGTGCTAGATGCTGACTGAACCAATGACATTCTGGAACCTGCTTCTTGAAACATTAGCACCGACGACGGTGAAGACGCTTGAATTGGTGGCAAAGATGGTTGAACAATAGTAACATATCCCAAAGAAGATGGAGGCAATCTACTCTCAGCATGAGATGTATGAAATCTATCAAACAGGCCGTACACACCGTTCCTTGCATGAGCATCAGATCGGGCTCCAATGAATGGAGGACATTTTGAGAATACTTCTTGACCTTGCAAGACCTTTTGGAATAGGACAGGTTCGCTAAAGCCTGTGCAATTGAAGGAAAAGTCAGCTCCATATGATGTTCTGACCCTATCCCTTGTAACAGATTCACCTACGATGCAGCTGTTTGCACCAGTGCAACGTCCCTTACCGTCCGAGTATTGACGATTTCCAATCTCAGAAACATGAGAGGCTGTTACACCAATGTTACTCGGAGTTCTAAGCCTCGTAAATTCTTGACCTTGCAAGACCTTGTGGAAACTTGCAGATTCCCTCAAGTCCAGACACCCATTTCCATCTGCAAACAAATGGAAAAGAAGTGTTAGAAATATCCAACAAATGTATGGATGTTCTTTGGCAAGCACGTTAAAGACCTACTCGGAATCGGAAAATCCATATTG